TAACTTTTCAGTTTTACAATAATACTGTAGTATAACTTATGTATATAATGGATTGGTTTAAAGAAATATTTCTCAATTTTCGTTTAAAATATTTCCATAAATATTTCATTGCGAAGATTTTTTTTATGTAATATAAATAACTGTAGTGTATGATTCTAGAACTGAATTTGCACTATAATAAAAATATGTATTTTATGTAAAAATATACTACAGGTTTCAATATTTTGTTATGCATACTATTTTCTTGTAATTTTAATATTTGTGTAAAATAGTAAATTGAACATATTAATATATTTTATACATTTTATACATTTATGTGATAAAATGTTATTAGCAGTCTTGTGAAATCTTATCTGGTGGGAGACCGAGAAAATAAACATACTCAGCTTAGCTATTCTCATACTCTCAAAGTACCAAATTTACACTTTATAATTGTAAGACTTTGTATACGTTTTACTATTCGTGTAAACAAATACAATTAGTTAGTTACAGAAGTACCTACCTAATATTAGAAGTAGGTTTTGCCGTAAACGGATAATATTGTTGGATTGCAATTTACAAAATCACAAACAGAATACAAATTCATCAAAACAYATTATTGATTATGTGTACCTATAGCTTTTGCAAAATATTTATCGTGTTCTTTGTATTGATTCACATAATTAGTTCTAAATTATCTACAGATACCTACATTATACATTTCATGTTTTAAAGCTAAGTAAAACGGGGAACCGTAAGTTCCTACATGAAAAAAATGGTACATTATATAAGTTCTAACATGGTGGGAGACAGATATATATACATTTTATRATATTATAATTGTAATAAGATATTAAATTGATGATATAAAAATAAAATTTAGAAGAATATAATAGTGTGGAGTAAGTGATGAAATAATATAATCATGCTTGTTTCAATCGCTATATATGGTATATTAAATTTTTTGACTCATGAAATATTTTTAACTGATATTAGATTGATAATTTATAAATTATATATAATAAACTATTATTATATTAATAATATATGCAGTGTAGGGACTTACGTACGTACCTTTTTTTTTATCGTATAGGAACTAACATATTATGTATTTTKTTTTACCTGCTTAGTGCTTAGTCTCGTGAATGAACTTACATTCATTCAGTAAAACAATGGTTTCGTTTAAGTACTCGAATATAAAATCGAATTCTCAATCACAAAATTATGTTGGGTTACAAGAATAAGGAAACAGACAATGTCGGGATTGGGTGTATTTTAAATTTTTTCATTAGATAATTTTGATAAAATCCTATAATACATTTCATAATATACTATAATGTAGGATGYATTCGTCATACGAGATACACATATTCAACGGACGTCAGAGCTACGAATATTTGTTTTGAAAATRCGACGATCTTACGACCACCGGCAGTTGGCGCCAAACTTGTTACACTTGTCCGGAGATGAGTCCATCGTCTATATAATATATTATATTATACTGTCTTCCAYGATGCCGTTTCTCTATTCCGACTGCAGATGACTACTATATAAGTACACATCGTTTTTTGACAACGCAGTAGTGCAATTATTGTTATTATTATACGAGAAGACCATTAGTCGGCGTCGTTGGGCCCGGCTTGCAAAACAATAACAGCGAGTTTTCACTTTAAAATCTAAACGCTAATCGCCAAATGTCTCAAGTTCCACCACGCCCTCTCCACTAATCCACCACCTCTTCGATGGAAAAGAAATGATTAATATCTTCCTTGCGCGACTGCAAATCGATTCGGAAACATTATGCCTCGTTCGAAACGTCTACAAATAAAGTATATAATTACGATTTTTAATTACTAAATTATACTACCAAATTCCCATTTTGAAGGTATTAACTTTAGTATAACTGGTCGGTGGTTCGATTATTATCGGGTCCAGCTTCTCTATGCATCATGGTACCGTTACATGCTTACCAAAATCTGCAGTAGAGAAATATTAATAACTCAATATGTTGTAGCTTAACTGATTTTATACTCTACTGCATTTTTTTTTTTTTTATCACTAATATAATAATTATACTCAGTGGGTTGGATAATATGTATTTTAGGGAATCGTCTAATGATAAGATTATAGTAACGGTAGATTAGATTCTAATCTACCGTTACTATAATCAAATTGGCCTTTCAGCTTACAAGATTTTAATGGCTACTATTAAAAAAATACATGTTATCTATTGTATGGAAATTAAAATAATTTGTACTTTGTATTATGGCTTATGAATCTTAGTCGATCAACTATACAGTTTTATATGAATCTAATCATGACGTATAATAAGGTATTCCCAATTAAATGTTACTGTGATTAAATACGTAGAATTTAATATTTATACTTTTAAATATCACATACCTGAAGAATACCTACTACATAACATAATTATTATGTTTTATACGCCATACGATTATAGGTATGTAAAAAAAATATAGCAGATTACCTGATATAGTTTAGTTAGAGTAATTTAATATTGTGCATTGTAGTGCAAATTTTAAGAACCATAGAACTGGCAACAAAGTAACAAAACAAAACTAAATATAGATAAATGCAATGAATTTATATATACATATATATTTAAAAAAAAAAAAAAAAAACGTGATGAAGTAATATATTGTTATACCCTGATAATTCTAACAGTATTTAACATTAACATTCCATACTATATGAATTAATTAATAGCCTAGTTCACTTACTGTAAAATTCAGATTTGATTTTAGTTTGCAAATATTGCTTATTATTTAATTACAAAAAAAAATACTTAAATATTATACARAATATGCTTATAACGTGACTTGTAAGTTAATTATACACTGAGCATTAAATATTTAACCAAATTTACAGATCTCCCATTGATATTCAATATTCAATACAATAATGTGTAGTATGAGTGTGTGCTTGTGTGTATTTGTATTTAGTTATCAGTTAGTGGCTTTTTGCCCATTATAATGCATTATCACCGACGGCACCCGATCGCAGTATAATGTCCTTTTCTAGAACTGTTCACGGTCTGCCTCAACACCCATCGTATTTTAACACTATTAATTTATATTTGGTCCATTTCCAACATTTTCATATAACCATMTTTTCACACAAGGTCTTCCATCGATTTTAGAGTACTCGTATATTTACCATCGTAAAAGAATTCACGCTCTCATCAATAATTAAAAAACATATATAAAAGTGAATAATATATATATATAGATACATACACTCTTTTCCACCCGGTAAAAAATACCATCACGACCTAATGAAAACAATACATCTATACCAATATGACAATATTTTACTGTTCCATAATAATATTATAGGTGTTTTTTTATGGTGACTCACGTTTTTGAATTTAATTTTACCATTTATTGTATTACCATAATATTTTATACATATTATTTCATAGATCAAAAACTATAATCACATAATTTATAATAAAATTCCGTGAGAATTTAATTACGATTTTCTTCCCAGTAGTGTAAAATGACTTGATGATATATACGACTAAATAATACATAAATTTAAAAAATATATATATTAATGTATTTAAATGTATTAAATATTAAGAATAAAGTGTGCAAATTCTATTAATATATTTATTAAAATACCAAGGTTAATAAAAATGAACTTATATTTTTATTAAACACTAGTCAGTAGTCACTAGATGCTCGGAATAGTTCCAAAGTTCTTATATACTAAAATTTAAAGTATAAGAAGAGGCACCCAACCTTTTTTGACTCAAAACACCCTTAGTTATTTTCTAATAATCTGGAGGCACCCTATGGCTTATAATCTATACTGAATACGCAATAGTAGTAGGTGATAATTTTGCGGTGCCTTGGTTGGGAACATCTGCATTAAATGCTTATAAAAAAAGTTCAGGTGTTGTATATTTATGGTACTCAATGACAAAGTAGTTTTAGAAAAACCAACACAAAATAATTATTTGATGTAGATAGATAATGATATTGTTTTATTCTAAAACATATACTATATGATAGGTACTATATTAGCAGTTGTAAGAAATAGGTATAAAATGTTATAGTTTGTTAATATTTCAAAATTCCTAAACATTTATACGTAGTTTTATTCGTGAAAAATAAAAAAAAATGTCCCATGTTCGATAAAAATAAAAGTTAAATTACTCAATATTAACTCCTGAATATGGGTTTAAATACTTGTTAATGGTGGTCATTACAAAAAAACTAGATCTATAAAATAAAAATGTATAGTATGTAATATTTTAAAGGATTAAAATTTAAGGAGCTAAATTTTATTAATTTGTACAAATTATGTAMTTACTCATTTATAATGATATAATAATATGTAATATATCATATTAATATATTCACTAAAACTAATCAAACAAAAAATTCCAGACCTTTTACCTTAAAGTTTATAATAGTATAAACATTAATTTTAGGCTAATACCGCGATTAAAAGATGAATTACAAGTGTTTTAAGTTCAAACTTAATTTTATTAATTTAAAATTGTTTTGATTAAACACCTACTTAAATAATTGAAATTAACGATATTCATATGTATTAATAAATTCTATACAGTATAAACCATGTAGTATGATATAGGGATTGCGTATGAAATGATTCCATAACATAAACTAAGAAAATATGTAAGACTATATACTAGTGTATAGTATAGTGGATTATAATTTTTTAAATAAAGCTATTTAAGTCTTAAACATACAATAATAAATAGCCTATATATAATGAAATTTCGTTTAAAAGAACTTTTACGTTGAAAGTTGAATTAGTAATTGATTTATATAAATCTAATCTATACCAGCATTATAGTCAAGTACCGACAGTAAATTTTTCTACAATATATTTTTTTCATAATATAACGACTATTACACTTACACATTATATTTGACATAAATAATCTTTGTTATTCTAATATTTAATGATTTAAATACAAAATGTTTTTAACATTTCATTTAAACACAGACATTAAAAAAAAATTACAGTTCACGATCTAACGATGCGTGACAACCAAGGTCATAGTTGACATGGATGGAGAGAACAGGATCATACTGAACGTCGGTGGTATCCGTTACGAGACCTATAAAGCCACATTGAAGAAAATACCAGCTACGAGGCTTAGCAGACTCACCGAAGCTTTAGCCAATTACGATCCTGTGCTCAACGAGTATTTTTTTGATAGGCATCCAGGCGTGTTCGCCCAAGTACTAAATTATTATAGGTAAGACGTCTTTATAATGCATAATCGACATACGAGTAATTATTAACATTAACCGGTTTTTTGTTTGTGATTTTGTTTCAGAACGGGAAAATTACATTACCCGACAAACGTTTGTGGACCACTTTTCGAAGACGAGCTGGAGTTTTGGGGACTGGACTCGAATCAGGTAGAACCCTGTTGCTGGTCTACTTATAGCATCCACAGAGACACACAGGTAACCGCAATTAAATACAATACATATGTTTGTATAAAATATGAACAAATTGAAATACTACGATATTATATTATGACTTCAGAACGTGTGAAAAGATACATCCAAATAAATTGTCTCTAAAATTCTTAATTTTGGCTGTTTTAAGGATATTTATACATTTTTATCTCTACACGGAATTCATTGTAGATGCAGCAACGTAGTTTTTAGTATAACAATAATTCTTGTATCCTTGTAAACTCATCATGTAATCAGATTAAATCCATTACGGTACGACATAAGCTATATTTGCATAACGGAAAAACCGTGAAATGCTTTCGTTACTCAAAAAGTTATGAAAGTTGTACACGTCTGTGTAAATACAAATCTGCGCTAAAAAATTGTACTTATAAGAACAAGTGATATGGTTAATGGATAGTAAGTTTCGGTTTTCCGCTCCTGATTAATGACTCAGCATTGATGAAAACAGCACGCACGTGAGAGAGAGTGAAAATCGGTGAGCGAATAGCGATGGGGTAACGAGAGAGTGTGTCACCCTTTTATATAAGATAAAAGGATCCATTACGACGCAACGAGTGGGATACCACTTCGAAAAATTCAACAACCAAACTCGATATAATACGAACTTTTTTCATTCTTTCGTTAATGTTTTTGAGTGCCTATATCAGTTATATTAACATTAACTCTGTTGAGAGCATTTTATTTTTATTTCTATTTTACTAAAATAAACCTTTGACGCAATTCCAGGCCACCCTCGCCATTCTTGACAAACTGGATATCGACTCCGAAAAACCGAACGAGGAGGAAGTTGCCAGAATGTTTGGTTACGAGGAAGAATACTTGGCTGGGACATTGAACCTTTGGCAGAGGACCAAGCCAAAATTATGGGCGCTCTTCAACGAACCGCATTCGTCGTTATCGGCCAAGGTAAGTGTGGTACGGACGTTTGCAAATATTATAAATTTAATATTCTAATCACGCTTGCAAATATTATAATATAATACGAATTAGCGTATAACAAACGAGTTGAACGCCATGAGATCCAAAATGGGATTTCACTTCATCACCAAGGGGTTATTGGTGATTTCCTGAAAATAGTTTTTTTTTTTTAAATTCTTCAAATGATTTGAAACTCTTAACATGCTCATATATCTTAAATGGCTTACATTTTTATTTTGAAGGTTTAGGAAGATAATGTCACAACATAAAAATGTCATCATACAAAATAATACATATATTATTGCTATTACCAACTGAGACCTAAATTATGTATCCCCTTGAGTATAAAAATGTGATCCAATATTGGATTTTTTTTTTAATGTGTATCATCAAATTCTTAATAGCAAAATATTATAAAGCTCATTTAATTATTAAAACCACTTTGATTATAAATATGTATAGCAACTCTTACAATTTAAAAAATGAACAAACAAATAAATTGGTAAAAAAAAATACATAGCATTTATTTCCATTATCACAAAACATCARCACGTGCATGATAATATTCATTATCTAYACTATTATACAAACTATGAACATGAAACAAATTTCAATTTATTATTATTAAACAGAAATTAGTAGAATATGCAGGTAAAATAATAGTCAGTTTATGATTCTAAATTTTTTATAATTTTTTAGTGCTTAAATAAGGGTATACTGGAAAAATAAGATAAGAAAATTAAGAAATTTTAGTGGTACATATTAAGTTATTTGAGTCTTTAAAGCTATATA